AAACTTATTTAAATTATTTTTTATTTTGAGACAGTCTTGCTAAGTCACTAAGTTGCTCAGGCTTGAACTTGTGATCCTCCTGTCTCAGCCTCCCAGGAGTGGATTGATTTCCATCCATTCTGTAATCAGCCTTCTTTCTCCTTGCAGACTGACCCTGGAGGAGCCCTAGCTCTCTGTGCCCCAGTCCATGTCGGAGAAAGGGCTGCTGAGGTCGCGTTTGGGCCCCACTACTGTGCTCTGGGGAGTCATTGAACGCTGAGAACCTCAGGTTCCCCTTGCAAGTGGCTCAGGATCTCAGGGCCCTTCTTTCAAGTCTTCAGCAAATGTCCAGGGAGCATTTCCTGTGCCTCCCTCCCTCCCTCCTCAAGGGCAGAACTCCTCATCAGGAAACTTGCTGTGTCCCCAGACAACCTGGGAAATGGGCCTTGGTGAGGACGCTGGCCAAGCCGGACCCCCCAGAGGCTCCAGGGGACAGAGATTGGGAGGCTAAAGTCCCTGCTAGCACGGAGGAGCCGCTCTCAGAGCAGAGGGCTTGGGTCAGCCTGTCTCACAGATGTCTGCAGGGATGATGTCCCCAGAGGCCCCTTGGGAGGGCGGGGAGAGGGGCTCGGAAGGTTCTATGGAGCCCTGCTCACCCATTGCCTGCCAGTGAGGGCTGGGGATGTCGCTCAGTACAAAGGCCTGGGATCAGTCCCGGGTGGCAATGGCAACACCAGAAGGCCAGGGACAGGGAAGGGAGGGGAAGTGGCTGGGAGGGCTGGAAACTCCATGGAGCCTTGGAGAAGGAGGATGGGGTCCCATCGCTCGCTCTGCGCTGGGCACCCTGCCGACTCCTACAGGGACCTGCTCCTTGGATCCGCCTGTGCCCGGTTACCCCGGACTGGGTTATTTAGTGTGGAGATGGTAACGCCACTGGGCTGCACTCGTGGAATGGCTGGACACACTCCTGTGCAACCAAATGTTTTGCATTCGGAGAAACAGGTAAGAGCTGTAAGTCCCGGGCTAAAAACCACACAAGTTCTGGGGGCGTTGGGTGGGGCGCTGAGCCACCCGAAGCAGGGCAAGGTCGCCAGTTTTGTGGTGCTGGGTTAAGAGCAGGACCTGAGCGAGGTGAGAGCTCGCAGTTCACAGGTTTTTCTGCCTTGAAGCTGATAGCCAAGTTTGAGGCAATCACAGGAAGTGCTGGAAAGAGGGGGAAGCACAGAAAGGAAAGCATTGGACAGTGAGTGTGACACTGGGGTCAAACGTGGGAGCCACGTGGGCACCGGTGACACAGAGCCCTGAGCTGAGAGCGAGCCGCTGCTCCCTTCTGTGCAGACAGCTTGGAATCTGAGCCTCACAGGTTAATGCCTGCTCCGACCAGACCACAACGACAGCCCAGCCGCAAAACTTGGCCTTTTCCAGGGGAGTGGGGCGGAGCCCAGGTCTCCACAATGCAGCCATCACAGGAGGCCGCCCAGGGTCTCTCAGCATAGGAGAAACAGGAACTCTGAGCTCTCCTCAAACAAAAAGAACCAAGAAACTAACCCTAGATGGGCCACTCCTTGGAATTTCACTTGGATCTTAGCCAAAAGGCCGAGAAGTGATCACATGTTGGAATTTCAAGAGAAGATTAAAATACCCCTGTCAGAGCTGTGCTCAAAAAAATAATGAAAAACAGCCAGGTGTGGTGGTGTTCCTGCATAATCCTAGCACTCTGAGAGGCTGAGGCAGGAGGATCATAAACTGAAGCCCAGCCTGAGCAATTCAGTGACTTAGTGACACCCAGTCTCAAAATAAAACATAAAAGAGGGCTGGGGATGTAGCGCAGTGCAAAGGCCTTGAGATCAATCCCTGGAAACACACACACACACACACACACACACACACAGAGAATAACAGAAAATATATTCATAATGAATGGAACGATAAGAAATCTCAGAAAAGAAAAACCAGTTATGTAAAAGACATAAAAGGAATTAGGATCAATGCAAAGCACAAGCACAGTGGTGCCCAACCCTACAAATCTCCAGGTCCCATTCTGGGGCTTGGTTCCCCTGGGGCCGTCATCCCCTCCTCCTCCCATCTCCACTGCAAAAGGAAAAGAAAAACAGTTGTGTTCCAAGTGCGGTCCGCAGGCCCTGTTCCCTAAGAAAGAATGCAGGTTCCTTGGGAGCCCCTGGGTGAAGCCATACTTAGAAATAGGCTCAGAAATTCGTGTACTTTCTAGCTCACCAATGGCTCTGATGCCCACCAAATCTCAAGAGCCCTGGCAGAAGATCTTAACATGAGAGTTTGAAAAATGTTTAGGATGTCTGTAAAGGAGCTCACCTGAACCCACAGCACTTCACATGCGTCCTGCGGCGTTTAGAGGGACAGCTTTGCTTCTCCCTTTCCGGTCTGTGAACTCCACACACACACACCTGGCCAGAACCACCAGTTTAATACATCCTAGGCTGTTTCGCATCAGAGTGCAGTTACTTTCTATTCCTAATTTCTCCGTTTTTTTTAAATCAGGGAAGGGTGGAGCGTTTTTGTTAAATGCTTTTCTGCATCCCTGGTGTCCCTCTGCATGGAGATACCACAGATTTCTTATATTCCTTTGCTTATTGAAGGACATCTTGGTTGCTACCATTTCTTGTCAGCTATGAGAGATACTTCATGTACTGTAAATATACATATAAACGCTGTATATAAAAGGGGGTTTTATACACCATGCATACTTGCATGAGATTTTTGTTTGGACATAATATTTGGGCTCAACTGAATAGAAAACTAGGAGTATGATTGGTGGATTACACGACAAGGCTGTGTTTAGCTGTGTAGTAAACTGCCACACTGTCTTCCAAAGTGGCTGGCTGGCTTTGCACTCCTGTGTATGTTCCACACCCACACTGCCAGTCCTATTAGGAAGTGACCCTTCAAATATGTGTGCACAGCTATCTCAGGGTTTTAACATCCAACTCTATAAAGATATGTGATGTTGAGAATCTTTGCATACATTTTTCATCATCTGTGTGTCATCTATGATAAGGTGTCTGCTCAGAATTTTGCTCACTTTAAAGTTCAGTTGTTTGTTTTCCTTTGTTCCTTCTAAGAGGGTTTTATTATATGTTTCAGATAAAAGTTCTTTATCAGATATGTTTTTTACAAGTATTCTAGTATGTGACTTAACTTGCTCATTCTCTTAGCAGTGTTCCCAATTTTAATGAAGTCCAACTTGCTATTTTTAAATTTTATAGTATTGGATCTAAAAACTCATTGCAAAATCCAGGGTTGTCTTGATTTTTTCCCCTATGTTATCAGCTAGAAGTTCTTTACTTTTGCTTCTAGATTTAAGGCCCATATTGAATTAATTTTTGTGAAAGATGTAAGATCTATATCTAAATTATTTTTTGTATGCATGTACAATTGTTCCATCATCACTTGTTGGAAAGATTATCCTTTACCCATTCATTTATTTCTACCCCTTTATCAAAAATCAACTGACCTGGGGCTGGGGTAGCTCAGTGGTGCCACTGCCTGCCTTGCAAGTGCAAGGTCCCAAGATCGATCCATGGTAACAACAACAACAACAAATCAATTGATTTAATTAGCACGGGCCTATTTCTGGGCTCTCTAGTGTGTCTGCCAAGCAATTTTTCTATTCTTTTGTCAATATAACACTGTCTTAATTACTCTAGTTTTGTATTAGGTCTTACATTTTGGTAGTCCTAGGCCTTTGACTTTGGATTTCGTGTTCAATTTTATGTTGACTATTCTAAGTCTTCTGTTTTTCAAAAAAATACCTTAATATCAGTTTGCTGTTGATATCTACAAAACAACCTGCTAAGTTTTGATCAAGATTGCATTAAAGCTATAGATCAAGTTGGGAAGAATCATCACCTTAAGAATATAGAGTCTTTTTATCTTTGAACATGAAATATCTCCCTGTTTATTTAGACATTCTTTTATCTTTCACAAAGTCTTACAGTTTTCTTCATATTGGGCCTTTACATATTTTGTTAAATTAATGTGTAAGCATTCAGTTTTTGGTGCTAATATAAACATTAATGTTTATAATTTCAAATTCCAAATGTTCATTTATTCATGTTGAGAGAAGCAATGCTCTTTGTATATTAACTTTATATCTTGCACGTTTCCTATAGTTGCTTATAAATTCCAGGAGTTATTATTTTTATTGTTGTTATTGATTCTTTGGGACTTTATAGAGAGAGAATAATGCCATTGGCAAACAGAGATTTATTTTCTTCCATCCAAATCTGTACACATTTTGTTTCCTTTCCTCATCTTACGGACTTAGCTAGATGTTCACTACTTTGTTGAACAGGAACAGTGAGAGGGGACATTCTTATCACTAATCACTTATTGCTAATCTTAAGGGAAAAGGATCTAGTTTCTCACTATTAAGAATTATGTGAGCTCTTGAGTTTTTGTGCTTTTTTATCAAATTGAAGAAGCTTCAGTATATTTCAAATTTTCTGTATTTTTTTCATGAATGAACATTGCAAATTGGTTTGTTTTTTTTTTTTGGTACCAGGACCTTGCACTTGCAAGGCAGGCGGCAGAACCACTGAGCTAAATCCCTGGCCCCTTCACGAATGAACATTGGATCTTGTTGAATAATTTTTCTTCATCTATTGATATGGTCATAGGATTTTCCTTCTTTACTTGTTGATGTGGTAGATGACTTTAACTGATTTTCAAATTTTGAACCAGACTTGCATGCTTGCAATATGTCCCGTTGGTCATGAGAATAATCTGCTTAATACATTTTTGGTTTTTGTTTGATACCATTTTTGAGGCTTTTCACATTTATGTTTGGGAGATATTGGCCTATACTTTTCCTTTCTTGTAATGTCTTATGATTCGGTAGTAGGGTAATGCTGGCCTCATAGATGAGTTAGTAAGTGTTCTTTATGCTTTTCTTTATGGGAGAGTTTGTAGAGAATTGGCATCATTTCTTTCTTAAATTTACCTGTGAAACCATTTGAGTCTGTTGCTTTCTTTTTTGGGAACATTATTAATTACTGATTTAATTTTAACAATAGGTATAGAGTATTCAGATTACATATTTATGCTTGAGTAGGTTTTGGTAGTTCATATTTTTCAAGAAACTGGTCCAGTTTTAATTGAAGTTATGCAATTGGTAGGCACAGAGTTGTTTATATTTGTTGATTATCCTTTTAAAATCTATGAGGTCAGTAGTGATATTCCTCCTTCATTTCCAATATTAGTGATTTGAGTCTTTGTTTTCTTTGTTAGCCATGCTAGAGGTTTTTAATGTTGTTCATAAAACCAGATTTTAGTTTTATATATCTACCCTGTTGATCTCTTTTTTTATTTCATTGACAACTTATAGAATAGGAGAAAATATTTGCAAAGTATATCTATATGATAAGGAATCAATACCCAGAATATATAAAAAGCCCCATAACTCAGCAGCAATGAAACAATCAACCCGATTAAAAATGGGCAAAGAAAAAAATTTTTAAATTAAGCAGCCAAAGGACTTGAATAGACTTTTCTCCAGAGATATAAAATGGCTAATAAGTTCATGAAAGGACATTCAGTGTAATTAGTCACCAGGGTAAAGCAAGATAGCATTTCACACCCACTTGGGATGGCTACTACCACAAAAGAAAGTAAGTGCTGGACACAGTGTGTAGAAGTTGGAACCCTCGGGTGAATGTGAGTCATTTTACTTCCTCCTTTCCGGTTGGATGCCTCTTAGCTCTTTTTATTGCCTGGTGGTATGGCTGGAACTCCCAGGGCTGTGCTAAATAGAAGAAGTCCTGTGAGTCAGCATTCTTGACTTGTTCCTGATTTTAGCAGGAAAGTTTGCAATCTTTTATCACTGAATATGATGTTAACTGATAGTTTCTCATATATGGCTTTCATCATGTTGAGGAATTTCCCTTCTAGTCCCAATTTGTTGAGTTTTTTTTTTAAAAGTTAAACGATAATTAATTGTGTCGACTTCATTCTCTGTATCATTTGAAATGGTTTTGTGGTTTTTTGGGGTTTTTTTTTTTTTGCTTCATCCAGTTTTTGATGTGGTGGGTTGTCTATGATTTCTAATTTCCTATTGATCTAAGAAAGGAAGTTGATTTTTAGTTTGTTCAGCATTTCTCTCTCTCTTTCTCTCTCTCTTTTCTTTCTTCAGTACTGGGGACTGAATCCCAGGGCCTTCACATTAGTCTCCCCCTTTTTCCTAGGCCTTTGAAAAAACTTTTATTCTTTATTTTGAGACATAATCTCCCTAAGACACTAAGTTGCTCAGGCTGGGCGTGAACTTGTGATCACCATGCCTCAGCCTCCCAGAGTGCTGGGGTTACAGGTTTGCACCACCATACCTAGCTTATTCAGCTTTTTTCTTATTGTGAGACTGGGGTGATGCCTTTCAAGGTATTTACATGTTGGAGCTGAAATTGGAGCCCTTCCATATTTAGCAATTTAGTTTATTATATTTTCTCAGATGTTTTCTACGTATTCAAATACAAACAACTGCATAATCTTTGTTATAAAAATAGAATTATTCCATGCACAATGATCTATCCTTTGTTTTTGTTTGTGTGTGTGTGTGTGTGTGTGTGTGTGTTGCATGTGTTTTAGGTACCAGGGATTGAACTCAGGACCTTGCACTTGCGAGGCAGGCAAGCGGCCTTAGTTATTTTATTTATACAAAGTGACACAGACATCTTTCCAAGTCCGTTTCATTCTTTTAAGAGCTGAAAAGCATTGTGCTGTATTGGGGTGTTGTACTTGACCCATTTCTCTGTTGATAAGGGTCCGGTTTGCTTCCAATTTTTAAAGCTACACAATGCTACTGGGAGCATCTATCCACATGTATCTTCTGTGTGCTGGTGTTGATATTTCTGTGGATTGACTTCTAGAAGTTGAGGATAAACAGGTGTTGGGAGCAATGCTACATAATTTTAGGGTAAAATCATTTGTTTAGCCTAGTTCTCTTGCCTACAGCCCAGCTATGGAATTCCGAGACATAACTCCATTTTGGCCTCCAGTCACAACTGAGACCTCAATGATCCAGTGATGCTGTGATTCTCCAGGACAGAAAACATCCTGGGAGCTGAAACCATCCTGGGAGGAACAAACATCTACTCAGTTCCTCATTGTTCTTTTTTTTTTTTTTTTCTTTTTTGGTGCCAGGGATCGAATTCGGATCCTTGCACTTGCAAGGCAGGCAGCGGAACCACTGAGCTAAATCCCCGGCCCTCCTCATTGTTCTTGGACTGTTACCATCTTGTTTACACGGATGTACTGAACTCTCTGCAAGTCATTCATTACATTTGTTTCTCCCAATATACTGAATAAAATGTGTGGTAAGCTGGGGGCTTTTGTCTTTGCCGCCCAGAGCAGCACGGATCAGACCCAAAGCTCAGCTTCTTCTCAGTCTCATTTGTCTACCTTTCCTGTAATTCGCCGTGTGCTGCCGTGGCTCGCAGGAGACCAGGACTCACTGCAGAGGTTCTGGTAACGTCCCCTTCCCCTGTTCCCTACATTTGGCGCCCAACTTGGATATGAACTGGATCCAGGGGTGAACTCGCCTGTGAGACAAACTCGGAGTAAAAAAAGACAGCACACGGATCTCCCAGGACAATTTCCGGACTTGGACGGGGGACACTGGTGGTAAGTGTGTCCAGCTGGGGGTAATTTTCTATCTTTGCTGAGTTACACCTATGGGTCAGTCTCTGTCATCGGAGCAGCGTAACTTTGCCAGATTACTTAAGTCGCTGTTAAAGCAAGCTATGTACCCAGTACCTAAGGATGCTGTGATAGATTTGTTAAAAGACGTACAAATGTACGTCCCATCTTTTCCCCAGGAAGGGACAACTAACTTAAAAGCATGGGAACGTGTGGGTACCGTTCTCCTTGAGGCCCGGCAAAGGGGTGATCATCTCTCCCCCTGAACACTCCCCACTTGGGCCTTAGTCCACTCTGCTCAGCGGTCAGAGTTGCTAGTCATTTTATTTGTGATTGAAAACTTCCCTCCCCAACCTCTAAATATTTTAAGTGATTCCTCTTATGCAGTTTGGTTGACTCAAAGACTGGAAGGAGCTATGGTCTGCTCTACCTTAGAACCTAAAGTATTAAACTTGTTTTTAAGATTACAAAAGGCCATATGTCAAAAAATTGCTCCTGCTTTAATAACTTGGGGGAGAGGTTTTGCCTGTGTCCTAACAGATAATGATAAAACCTTGTGGCTGCCCTCTCAGAATGTGAGACCATGGGTCACACTGGTGGAACCGCCAACATCTCAGAGATCAGGGTTAGCACCCTGGCTGAGAGCGATGAGCCAGCTGCACCTGAGCGACCCACCTCACCAGCAACAACCAACAAATCCGCAGCGGGGTCCAGGATTGAGATGATGTCCCCAGAGGAAGAATAAATATAGATTTAAAAAAGGGGGGGGCACAATTTGAAAATGTTCTTTTTATATTTATAGGTATAAAAGCACTTGCATTCCTTCTGATTCTAATCTCAAGAGATCTCTGTTAATTGACTACAAAAGTTTTTGACCAGTCTTATATACAATTATAAACCTAAAAATCATAAAAGGGATATTATAATTCGATTTGGTCAAATATATTTGAGTGCACTCTAGTTTTGTAAATTGTCTTATATGTTTGTTGTGTGTTTGTCTGTTTGTACAGTTGAGCTCAATTTTTTTTTCTTTTTCCTTTTCACCTTTTGAAAAAAAAATTTATTTTTCTTTAAAAGATATTCACCTATTATTGGACTGGCTTACAGATAAACATTATTAAATTAAAGGCATGCGCTTCTTCCCCCAGGTTGCTAACTGGTCAAAGTGCCATCAAAATTTATTTGTCAGAGTACATAGAGACCGTGGGTACTCCCTTTGGTAAATAAAGAAGCAGTAGCCCAGAAAATAATTATTCTGGTCTTAATTCACTAAAGGGACCCCCTAGTAATTTTCATAATCTTATG